ACGGCCGCACTCAGAAACGTTCATTAAATTAGCTCTAACGGGCACTTAACTAATGATCGTTAAATCTGTTAATTAATGTTTCCTCTCAGAGTCATTTTTTAATGATTCATTAGTTAATGAAAACTTTAAGGGCTTGTCAATTTCTTCCCTCTTTTTCTTTAGCAACACTCACTTCAAATTGACAAAAAAATTAAATATTTGAAGTTAGATTATATTGTGCTTTCATACGAAATACGTATTTCATTGTTTTTCTATCAGCACCAAGGCAAGAAAGCATACATAATATAATAATTATATTATAATGGTAAGTATCGGTGTAGAAGTAAAGCAAGATCGTAGTTTAGGCCTTCCTCCTATTAACTTGTACTCGCTGCATTCATTTTGAACCAGATCACCAGTGTTAAGTGTGTATAGATCGCGCTTCCTTATAAACTCCAATGATGCGAGGTTAGCGAAATTCTTAAAAATCCCTGGTGCTGTACGGACTCCATTGAAAAAACTTGGTTCTTTGTATTGTGTGATTGATTCCGAGTTTCTTTTGTAATAATTTAACAATGCATAGTTTACATATGAATGAATGTATGTGTTTTAGAATTAATATGGTTTATATTAAGTCCTGGACGTGTCTCGGCTTATTTATGACCACTTTTATGTCCATTGCTGCACTACTTAGTACCCAGCCTGCAAAGAAAAGTCCGTGCTGAGAGATAGTATTGGGCAACGCTCTCCAGAATAGTGCAGACAATCAATTATTAGCTAGCACAATTGTGATGAGAAGCGTTTTTGTCTATTTTGAGAGTGGCTCACACTCGAAGATGTGATCTGGTCAGTTAGGGCTACCAGAAGTGTGGTGGGTTTTGTACATCCCCAAAGAATTGTATGTAATAACTCTTCGAAACACATTTGAAAACTGCAATACAGTCGTTTTAGGAATGCGATTTTACAAGTCAAGCTACAATGCAATTGTTTCTTGGAAGCGACAAGTTAAAAGGTTCTTGCACAAACTATAGTAAAGCTAAAGCTTGTCCATGTTACCACATTCAAGAACTGCAATACCTGCTCTTAATTCACCCAGGAAATTTCTATGTACGTATACAAATGTTTGTTTTAATTTAGGAAGAAGCAAAAGTAAATCGAAAGCGTGTATCAAATTTCACTGGCGATGAAAAGGCTATATTAGGGCAACTAATAAAGAAGCGGCCTATTATAGAATCGAAGCATACGGATGGAAAATCAATTTTGAGAAAGAAAGAAGCTTGGGATTTGCTTACGAATGAGTTCAATTCAAATTCGAATGTCTACAAGGTAAAATTATATGCGTTTTAAGGCGGGTTGTATGGAACTAATGGAACAGATTCGGATTCTAGATAAATTTCTAAGAAAAAATTCCATTAGAGCATAGCTCTGGATTTCGAGCCCGCCAAACTTGAAAAAGCTATCTTCAATTAATGCTACGTTAAGACATAAGTAAGTATTAAAAATATGACCTTCATAACACTCCCGCTAATATTAAGTGTAGACATTAACTTAGTATTAATTAAAGATAGGTTATTTTAAAATTTTGGGGGGCTCAAAATTTGGAGCTATAATGGAATTTTTTCTTTGGTATTTAATGTAGAATACGAATGTGCTAGGAACGATGTCGAAAAAATACCCGACCTAATGCATTTATTCAATTTATTATACGCCTTAAGGTAGCGTCAAACAGATGCGGTAAAAAATTTTACGATATGCGATCAATACAAACCACTGCGGTATAGCACCGCAGTGTGTCGTAGCTCACCTGTTTGAGAGCGTTTGCTTTTTATCGTTATCGCAAAAAATACGATATCGTATCGCACCGGTATTATCGCATCTGCTTGAGGCCACCTTTAGTATTTCGTGTTTCCATATTGTTTATTTGAGCGTGAGACGGTTACATTAAGGAGGGCGTGGGAAAATATGAAGGCAGTCGCACGAAAGGCTCGGGCAGTAGAAAGGGGTAATTTATTTCGAACGGGCGGTGGGCCATCAACATCACGGCAAGTAGAAGCAATAGTGGACATGGTGGAAGAGGTATGTATCCTTACAGCGCTCTTACACGATATTTATTTGCTTATCGTTATCTTAATATAGAAAGGCCCTATCTCTCATCGTCGCTGAAATACAAAAAAAAATCGTAACTAGCTAAAAATCCTAAATTCACCTATTGATTGATTTTGAGCATTATGTGAAATAGGGCCTTTCTATATTAAAGTAACGATATACATATATGTAAATGCTACTTTACTTACGAGTACATACAAAAAAAAAAAAACGTTTACATATCGATGGTCCTGTGCAATAACGACACAAATTAAAATTCGAAAAATAAAAACTGTTACTACTGTTAAGTGATTATTGTCTCTAATCCTTGTCTAATCCATTTCCATCCCTTACTAAAGTAAGCAGTAAGGATTGTTAAAGTAAGTACAAAAGATGAGACATGGATTCGACAAGGATTAAATACATGAGTCACTTAACAGTAGTAACAGTTTTTATATTTTTTTGAATTTTGAATTGTGTCGTTGTTGTACAGGACCATCGATATGTAAATACATTCATATCGTATAAGTGCGCTGTTAGGGACTTAACTATTATCTTCATACTGTCTTGTCGTCATAAAATTTAATTATTAGGCTGCTCCCGCAATGATTTGCGAAATCTCCAACAACTTTGACAGCGATGGGGCAATTTTGCTAAACATGGAAAATAGCCAATCTAGCTCCATTGAGTTTTTAGGTATGTCCTTTAAGATATAAAGCAAATCACTTTTTAACCAACATTTTTTAGATATGATCACGGAAGTAAATGAGGAATCCGACGTAAACTTCAAAGCCATAAGCATAAATTATGAAGGTGAACCAAATGTTGCAGGTACTGTACCTATAAAATATGAAAGAAGTCATCTACGATATACTAAAATTCTTTTCGCTGCTTTTTAACTACATAGTACACAGTAATGAAACTGGCCACCAACAAAAAGTGGAAAAGGAGCAAGTACGCAGACCAAGCGACTACGTTCGGCGGGAGGCAGCATTACGGGTAAGGTACCTAGAGAAGAGAGAGAAGCTTAAGCTTGAATTAGTCAAAACACAGGTATATAATAACTATGCATTGGTAAAGCTAAATATTTGTATATGCATATTTTCTTTTACAGTTGGAAGTTGAGCAAATAAAAAAAAGAGCAGCCTTGTTGGAAGAGCAAAAAAACCAAGTATTACTACAAAAGGCTAAAATAGATTTTGAAGAGGCAAAACAAAATCGTTCAATAAATTAAAGACATAGTTAATATTTCAACATCTAAAGACTCTTATTTGTAGCAAAAGATCTTAGGAAAAAAATCTGTCTACCAGAGATTGACGCGCAATAAAACCGTTGCTGTTGGAGTTTTCATTGATTGGTGAGGCTTCGACATTAAAAGTTTCGATGTTATCAGAGCTGACTGGTAGCAAGTCATCTACTAAGATGGAAATGTTATGCAATGCTGCACATGCGCATATAACAGCTACAACGGTCTCCAGCTTAATACCCATTCCAACGTGAAGGCAGGGGAATCTTCGCTTCCAAACTCCAAAACATCTTTCCACAGTGTTTCTTGTTTTAATGTGGCTTTTATTGTACTCCTTTTGTGGAGTTGAGCTTGGTGATAAAAACGGAGTTAAAAGCAAATTACTGACAGCATATCCACTGTCACCTAAGAGTATTCCTTTTAATTCCCCGCTATTGAATCTTTGCTTAACCGAACTGCTGTTATATATAAAGCTATCGTGCGTACTCCCAGGCCAACGAACTACTAAATCAAAAAATTCCAAGTTTGGACCAGTGACTGCTTGTACATTGATAGAGAACCACCCTTTCCTATTTCTGTATACCTCAGCAGATAATCCTCCTGGGCTTCTTATTTTAATATGTGTGCAATCTACGCACGCAATTACTCCAGGAAAATGAGCCAATTCATAAAACTGTTGCCTACAAATAAAAATGTGCAACAATAATTAAGCATTTTTATACATAGTATGTAAAAATACTTATTATGTATTAACGAAATTCAGAATACAAAATATGGCCCTACTTTACTCTATTAAATTCTTCTGCAGTAGATGGAAATTTAACGAGGTCTTTGGTTTTTTCGCGCTATTGAAGTAGAGACTTGAAAAATTATTCGCGAAACTGACTGTTGACATATGTTCATCACATCTCCATCCAGTTTCTGTAATTGAAATGGATAGTCATATGTTATCGTTCATTAGATCCAAAAGTTGAGGCATTGGAAATTCACACGTTTATTTCCATATGTATGTTGGTATAACTTATTAAAGAACGTCGAAGTTCCAAGATAAATAATAATTTATATAACTTAATTAATTTTTTAAATTTATTTATATATGATATGCTAAAAATATATGTATGTATATGTACATATGTATATAGTTTCAGCTGTTTCTTGAAATAGTTATATGCATACATCCATCCTTGGAAAATAATACATATAATATGGAGACAGATTCAAATGTTATCTTCTCGTAAATAATTGTATCAATACCAACCTGAAAACTGCCAGTGACATAATATCGAAGTGTTACCAATAACATTATTTCCGGGTGAAATGGTAATCCTCTTCTGGTTGGCTTATCCAACTCAGAAGACACCAAAGGCAAAATAACATTCTTAATAGTTTCAGGCGTAAATCTATATCGTGCATGGAATTCCCGATTTGAGTACTTCGTGAAAGGATCAGAATAATCTCGAAGATAGCGCCTCAATCCCACTTCCCTGTGCCTTCTTACATAATCCGCAAAGTCCATGAAGTCTTCTAGATCGCGCATTTTTCCACTATTTTAAAAATCTAACACAAATTCAAACGAAAATAATAAAATAATAAACAAAAGATTGTCAAAATCTCTCGTTAAAAAGTTAAGTGAAGGTTTTTCTTTACTCAACTTTAATGTTCATTAAATGCCGTTAATGAAACATTAGCTGACTCTGAGAGGGAATTTTTTCAAATCGTTACTGAGGGACACCTTAAGTAATCATTAAACGACTCTGATTATTTAAAAAATTCAGTGGAATATAGGATAACAACAAGGGTATCA